TGGGACAGTTAATGGCTTTTGCTTTGCCTGCTTGCTTTGCCCGTGCACGCGAGATGTATCCATTGGCTCATGCTGACTGGGGGGATGTTTGATCCTAGTATAAGTCAGAGGCCCCTGTAGTAACGGCCATTCCTGACACAAGCTGTACACGTGTCTTTAGTGCTGGGTTTATCAATAAACAGTTATCTGATGGTTTGTGTCTCTGGTGGTTTGCCCCCTCCTTCTCCTTTCTAGGAACAGAGTAGGAATCAGTCACAGCCAAGTGGGCGGTGCCAGAGCTTTCTAGGGCAAACAGCCTTCTGTTTGGGAGAGTTTGGGAGAAACACATCCTTTCCCACTTATCAGAAGGTTGCAGTGGGCTAATTCTGGAGACTTGGTGGGGCCTGATTCATCTCCTGGCCCAAAGTTGCCGGCACAATAGCCAAGATGCCACTGGGGTGCAGGGAGGAGAGGAGGCAAACTTGCAAGTTTTTACGCATTGACTAATATGTAAGTCTGCATTCCCTACCATTTGAAGCGACTTACAACAGATCAGACTCTTCTACTTGCTGTAGCTTGTCTTTGCACAGCCTTCAAGTAAACACGATCACACCCAGACTCACTAACCCACACATTTATGCCTTCTTCCTAAGATCCCATAAAACAACAAACAGTTGATAATAACACACTGGGCACCGCTAACATTGCATTTTGGTTACAAGGAAGCATAATTAAATCAAGCATAGGTCATTTCAAAAAGGCATGCCTTCGGTAAGCCACAAGCTCAGAACTCCTTCTAGGTTCTCATGTAGCCAGTGCCATTTGTCATCACTTTAGCCACATGGTCCGAATTTAGCTGGGTCACTGGCAAATTCATGAATGACCCAAGCCTGGGCATGCATCATTTACAGCAAGATGTTAATGTTTTATTCTTTGAATATTTATCTTGATGTTATTATCTGTTTTGTTCGTTTGTGGGGTAAGTTGTAAGTCGCTTCAAATGGTAGGGAATGCAGACTTACATATTAGTCAATGCGTAAAAACTTGCAAGTTTGCTCTGCTTTTGAAGTTCGAGAGCCGGTTTGGTGTAGTGGTTAGGAGCATGGACTCTAATCTGTGAGAACCGGGTTTGATTCCCCACTTCTCCACATGCAGCTGCTGCTGTGACTTTGGGTCAGTCACAAGTTCTCTCAGAGCTGTTCTCTCATGAGCAGTTCTAGAAAGAGCACTCTCAGCCCCACCTACCTCACAGGGTGTCTGTTGTGGGGAGGGGAAGGTAAAGGGGATTGCAAGCCATTCTGAGACTCCTTTGGATAGTGAAGGGCAGTGTATTTTATTTTGCTTTTAGTTGGTAAATATCGTAGTTCCTAGCAAGAGCCCAAGGTTGGGTTCTGGAGCCGGAAGTGTTGGCCACCTGCAGGCTATTAGTGGTTACTCAGCCCTGACCCTGGGGAATGGGATCTGGTGAGCCTAGTCAAGCTTAATTGGCAATTAGTGCTGGTGGTCAGGCTTCAGTGTGGCTTAAATCAGAGACTTTGACTCCCTGGCCTGGTGGCTATAGGCAGGGTGCCGTTATATTGGGGAAAACCCTGCTCTGAGCCGATCGCTGGGAGTTGTGCTAAGAACTGCTGGGACCAACTGGGCTATACTGTTCAAGGTAAACTAGATAGAGATTAAACTATTTTCTTGTTCTGTACACAGAAATACTGGTACTACTTTGCCCCGAAAAACAAACCATTTTGTTACCTGCTGGTGTGATGGTGTGCCTGGGGGGGTCTGCAGAATGGTGTTCCAGTTGTTTGTTGTCCTGGCCCTGTGATGACCTCCTATTAGGGAGGACTGTATTTCTCTTTAAATGCGCTCTTTTTATTTCTGTAAAACTGGGTAGATTCAGCTGCCACCAGGAATTTAAGGATTTCCAAACCTTCTGTTTCTCTTATTCGTAGGGTTGCCAAATCTTTTTTACCTGGCAGCGGGGGGCTCCTGCCCGGTGTCCTGAGTGTGTGTGCGCCACCCGGATGTGATGTCATGATGCTGGGCACGCTGGGGGCGGGGCCACAGCCATTTGAGGGGAAAACATGATATCACATCCAGGTGACGTGCACGTGGGGGTGGGGTTTCCCCCGGGGCCCGATTCCGCGGGGGTGGAAATCGGGCCTCCAAAGCGGGGGGAAATCCACCCACCGGGGGGACTTGGCAACCCTACTTATTGGTAGGGTAACACAGGCTCAAGGCTTTTCAGGGATCTATTGTGGTCCAGAGGAAGAATTGATATGAATTCTGGGATATTTTTAAATAAAATAGGATGTATTGAAAGGGGAACAAAATAAGAAATTGGTAATTATTTAACTGGTTGGGAATAAGGTCTCTGTAAATGAACTTGTGAACTGTATCACTTTAGCACACACATACTGATTCTTCTTGGATCCCATACAGATTATTTAGTCTCTCTGACTCCACGCAGCATTGCCAGAGGTCTCACTGACCGAAATTCAACTGCACAACATCAACTGCTTTTTCCTCAACTCCCATTATTCCAACTGTCATTCTCCAATCTCTCACTGACACACCCACACAGAATAACTCCTCCCACACTCTGCCA